TGGGGAGTGTGCAGGAGGCAGCTGATCGATGTTTCTCTCTCATCGATGTTTCTAACTCTCTATCCCTCTCTCTCCCTTCCTCTCTGTAAAAAATCAATAAAATATATTTTAAAAAAATCTTCTAAAAAACATTTAAATAACTCTTATTTTTGGCTTAAAGTGCATTTTGTTTCCATGTTCAGTGACCATCCACTTACCTTTGAGAAACTTAAAAAGTGCTTTGGGTGTGAAATATTCTTTAAACTGCATTCTTGTACTCTAATAGCTCCTAAATGAGAACACTTGGCTTTGGAGATGCTGTATCTGCTTGGAAAAAATAATGGGGTACGGGCTGGGGGCACAGTAGGGGATGGTGCAGGTCAGGAACCCTGTAGAGAGATTGGAAAAAATAATGGGGTACGGGCTGGGGGCACAGTAGGGGATGGTGCAGGTCAGGAACCCTGTAGAGAGAGGCTAGGCAGGATGCCTCAGTGTCCACAGCACAGGCTGTATTTGAAGAATTCCTCATTGGAAGGCTGATATCTAACAGTAAAGGTTCAGATTTGATAAACTTTAGACATGAGCCACAGCTAATTTTCTTTTAAAATGTTTTTGCTGTTCTTATTGCAAATCTATACATATATAAAGCTAATATGCTATTGTCCGACCCTCTGAACAGTTGCTATGACATGCACTGACCACCAGGAGGAGACACTCAATGCTGGAACTGCCGTGATGTGAACTGGCAATTTATAGAGAACCTGGAACCCACAAGTAATACTCAGCTTCCCCCAAGTGGAAATGCAAGGATGGTTCAATATCTGCAAATCAATAAATGTGATGCATCACCTAAACAAACTGAGAGACAAAAATCACATAATCATATCAATCGATGCAGAAAAAGCATTTGACAAAATCCAACACCCTTTCTTGATAAAAACTCTCAGCAAAGTGGGAATAGAGGGATCATACCTCAACATAATAAAAACCCTATATGAAAAACATACAGCCAAGATCATATTCAATGTGCAAAAAACTATATACATTTCCCCTAAGAACAGGAACAAGACAGGGATGGACACTTTCACAACTCCTGCTCAATATATTTCTGGAAGTGCTAGTTATAGTGATCAACAACAAGAAGAAATAAAAGGCATCCAAATTGGAAAAGAAGAGGTAAAACTGTA